AGCGGGCAAGGGGGAGGCCGGGGAGCTGACGCGCTGCTGCTCCCCTGCTGCAGCGCTGCTGCAGCCCGTAGAAGAGGGCCTCTCCCCCGCAGAAAGCCCAACAGCAGAACAGCCCGTGCTGCTGCTGCTGCGCAGCAAAACTCCGCGCATAGAAATTCGGCAGCGGCCAACGTTTCAGCCGTACGTACACTGCAGAAGGGGGGCCCGGCCTTTGGTGCAGATCTTCACCACGCGCCACCTCATAATAGACGAGCAGTTCTTGCCTTCTGCTGCTGCTGCTGCAGCGGCTGCACCAGCAGCAGCAGCAGCAGCAGCGGCGGGAGCGCCTGCCGCTGCAGACGCGGGCAAGGCAGCAGAGGCGGAGCCCCAGCGGGCTTCTGCTGCTGCTGGCGGGGGGCCCCCGCGGCAGCTGCAGCCGCGGGTGGTGGTATTCACTCCGCGGGAAGAGGGGCCCCCGCCGCCGTGCCTGGGGGGCCCCCCGGGGGCCCCCGGGGCCCCCGGGGGGCCCCCGCTGCAGCTGCTGGGCAGAGCAGCAGAGAGCGACCGCTCCGTCTGGAGGCCCTACATCTCCGTAGAGTCCACTGAGGACTGGGAGCCCGAGGTGTGCCTGGGCCCCTGGACCTCCGAGGTGACCACTGGTCAGCCCAGTGGTCACATAGTGATTCACGGGCTGCACAAGCCTGCGCTGGAGGAACGGGCTGCGTGGGGCCCCACGCCCAGCGTGGCCCCCGCGTGAAGCTCTCAGGATTATTTTCAGTCTTTTGTTTCTTTTAGTTTGTAGTTGTGAACAGAAGCAGCACTGCAGGGCCTTCTCCAGCTGCATAAGTGCAAAAAGCTGCAAAAAAATGCTTCTCAACAAACTCGAAACTCTAATGACTCTAAAATTTCGAAACTCTGCACTCTATGCACAGGGCCTGGGGCCCCAGAGCCAAACAAAAACAGAAAAATGCCTTTTTCCTCAAAAGGGCCTCCCAAAGCTCCCAAGAATGAAAAGCCTGAAGGTCCCGGGGGGGGCCCGGGAGGGCCCCGGGGCCCCCTGGGGCATCGGAGCTTCCCTGGGGCCCCCTGGGCCTCGGGGCTTCCTGGGGGCCTCAGGGGCACCCCGGGGCCTCGGGATTAAAAGGTGTATTTGGACGAATTTTGGGATTTTCGATTTCATTTTTGGTGCTAAACGGCTTATGCAGACCAAAGCCTCCATGACATGCATGCGGGTCATTTGAACAAAAAAGAAAAAATTAAAAAAAGTTGGTTAAAGATTTCACGCGAGTGGCAACACACCATTCTGCCTACAGATCTCTTCAGACGGGCAGATGAAATTAACTTCTGAATTTGAAAATGCGCATTTTGAGTGCGTAAGTGTCTGTGCTGCGGTGCACGTACACACCGTGTGTGCGGAGGCAAATACATTTTGAAGGCCATTTGCTTTTGTTTTAATTGCGTTATTCTCTTGCTGCAGTCCCGCTGCTGCTGCTGCTGCTGAGCCGTCCTTCCGTTTTATCTCGTTTTTCTATTTTAATTTAGATTTATTGGAATTATTTTCTAATTTAAATTCATTTCCATTTATTTTTGTTTTTACTTCCTATCATTCGCCTCCCAGCTCTGACTACACCTCGTGCGCCTGTCCGCAGTGCTTGCCGGTAGCTGCTCCTCCTTACAACTAATTTATTCATTTCTATTTGCTTTATTTTATTTACTTTTATTTCATTTTTAATTTACTTAGTTTTATCCTTTGTCTTATCTCCTCGTGGCCACGAGGAACCCTTTAGCAGTCTTGACTGACGTTTGCACCGCCTGCTGCGGCTGCGCCCAGCAGCAGCAAAACAAACGCGCACCCTAGCTCTCGCTGCCTCGCAGCAGCAGCAGCAGCTGCTGCCGCTGCTGCTGCTGCCGCTCCTGTAGCTGCTGCAGCAGCGGCATGAGCAACTCTAAGTTATCGCAGCAGGCCTGCTGCTGAAGCAGCAGCAACTATAAAGCGCCGCGGCACCTTCTGCTGCAGCACTAATAGCCTGCTGCAGCAGCACCTGCAGCAGCACTAAAATGCTGCAGCGCTTGCTGCAGCTGCAACTGCTCTGCTGCTAATGCTTGCGCAGAAGCAGAGGGTTCTGCTGCTGCAGCAAGCACAGCTGCAACAAGTGCAGCAGCACCAAGTGCAGCAGACCCCGCGGCCACGGCTGCTGAATGAGAGACTGTAGGAACAGCGAAGAAAGCTGCCGCAGCAAGCGCTGCAGCAAGAAGAAAAGCAGTGGCGACAGCTGCAGCAGCAACTGCAGCAGCAGCTAAAACTCCGTTGCAGACACCAGAGAGGCCAAGAAGGCCCGTGCTGCTGCCTCTCCCAGGCAGCTCCTGCAGAACGCAGCAGCGCAGCAGCAGCAAAAAATAAAATACACGTAAACAAAACAGAAGCTACAGCGGAGACCAGCAGTAGCAGCAGCAGCAGCACAGCAAAGCAACACTGGGGGCTGCAGCAGAGAGGCACGCGTATATCAGCAAACACAGCAGCAGCAAAACAGCAGCAGCAGCAGCAGCAGCAAGAAGGGACTTCGACGCAAACGGACATGGCTTGGGTGGTGATGGTGGCAGCCCATGCGGGGCACTGTCTCGCTTGCTGCAGCAGGCAGCGGATCAGAGGCCTCAGCCGCTGCTGCTGCTGCTGCTGCAGCTGCTGCTGCTGCTGGTCTGTTGCTTCGTTAGAGTTCTTCGCCAGCAAAGACACCAACGCCTCCGTCACCAGACACAGAAAACGCGTTATCACTTTCCTGCAGCAGCAGCAGCAGCAGCAGCAACACCTCTAAACGCGCAGTCCTTGACGTAGACGACAGGCTCCCTTGGCCCTTTGCTCCAAGCCACAAACCCTAAACCCTAAACCCTAAACCCTTAACCCTAATTCCTCACATTTGTCCAGGGTTTGCAGTGCCCTCAGCGCGAGGAAGGTGAATTGTTAGGAGCGCAAGAAGACAGGCTCCGCTCTGCACCAACAACAGCAGCAGCAGCAGCAGCAACCCAGAACGTCTTCAATCCAAAGGAAAACATTCATTAACAGCAGCAGCAGCTGCAGCAGCAGCAGCAATGCACAGCGCTAGCATTTCATACACGTACCAGTCCGCCGCAAAGCGCACCCACAACCTCCAGCAGCAGCAATAACAGCAGCAGCAGCAGCAGCAGCAGCAACAACAGTAGCTCACCATGTGGGCCGCTATGGCGACCAGCGAGGCCTGCTCCTGCTGCTGCTGCTGCTGCTGCTGCAGGCCCCAGTCGAGCACATCTAAGAAGCTGCACAAGACAGCAGTGCGGGAAGGCCCCGCAGCCCTTAACACCCTGAGGACCCCCAGCAGCAAGAAGCAGCAAGTGCTGCTGCGCTCGTGGCCCTCCGACTGCTGCTGCAGCAGCAAACTGAGCAGGCTGTTCTTGGGCAGAGCAGCAAGTGCTGCTGCTGCTGTCCCTGTCGACCGCATCACCTCCTCGAACAGCCGCAGGCTGCAGTCCCCCGCAACAGCAGCAGCTGCTGCTGCTGCAGGGGCTCCTGCTCCTGCTGCTGCTGGAGCCCCTGAGGCCCCTTCTGTTGCTGCTGCTGCTGCTGCTGCGGAGGGTCCTGCTGCTGCTGCTGCTAGGACAGCGTCCGCGCCTGCAAAGACTTCAAGGAGGGCCTCGGGGCACAGCAGCAGCCCCTGCAGCAGCAAAGCGGTGCAGGCGTCGGTGAGCATGGGCAGCAGCAGCAGCAGCAGCCGCAGGCCCTTGCTGCTGCTGCTGACGCTGCTGATGAGCCACTTGGTGCTGCTGCGGCCCTCTGTGACAAGGCTGTTCAGGCCCGGCGGGAGCGCCCCAAGGAACCCTTCTTCCTGCTGCTCCTGCTGCTGCTGCTCCTGCTGCTGCTGCTGCTGCTGCAGCCGCAGGTAGTGCTGCCGCAGCCGCGAGACATACGCAGCAGCAGAGGGGCAAATTGCTGGGGCCCAAAAGTCCAGCAGGAAGGGCATTGGCAGCGGCAAAGAAGTGCAGCAGTGCCGCAGCAGCAGCAGCTCAGCTGCCTGTAGTAGCGTGTGCTGCAGCTGCTGCTGCAGTTGTCCACGAGCAGCAACGTGGCTCGCTGGACACTCCTGCAGCATCCGCAGCAGTAGCAGCGACACCAGCAGCACAGCTGCAACAACCCCAGCCTTGTGGGCACAAGAAACCCAAGTTCCAAAACCTAAACCCTAAACCCTAAACCCTCACTAACCTCCAGCTCCCCTTGAAGCGCTGCTGCAGCAAGTCTAATGTCGTGGCAATCCTCTATGATGGAGTTCAGAGCCAAAGAGCGCTGCAGCAGCGACAGCCCGGGGGCCCCAAGGGCCAACTGCAGCAAACCAGCAGCAGCAGCAGCAACAGCAGCACCGCTTGCAGCAGAAGCAGCAGCAGAAGCAGCAGCAACAACGCTCGCAGCAGAAGCAACAGAGCAGCAGCAGCCAACGAGGCGACGGAAAGCAGCAACCACATGCGCCTCAGCAACGCAGCAAGCCCATAACAGCAGCAGCAGCTGCAGCAGCTGCAGCACGAACCTGTCTAACGAAATCGTGGCCGGGGTGCTTGCTGCGCGCAGCAGCAGATAACGTGCTGCCTGCTGCTTTGGGGCCCTCGGGGGGGCCCCCAGGGGGCCCCTCCTCTTGGGGGGGCCCCCTGTCAATATGAATAATATTCCTGGGGTGCCTAATGGAGGCATAGGCGACTCTGCCAAATTTCTTGTGCACCCCACTGCTGCTGCTGCTGCTGCTGCTGCT